CCCCAAAACCCCAAAACCCCAAAACCCCAAATTAGGAATTATTATTGAAATCATTATTATAATTCATTCTTTGAAGCAACTTCAGAGAGTATGAAAGCAGAAGAACCTCTAACTTTGGCTCCTGGTGTCAAGGAGCTATAGATTCCAGAATCGTAACTAGGAGTTTCATTAGACTCTTCTTTGATTAGAGGGAACTTCAAAGATGGCATAGCCTTGTAGTTAACATTATACAGGGATAAGCTTGACTCTTTTCTTTGTTCTAAGCATATTTCTGGTAATGATTTTGACTCTAATTGCTCCTCCAAGGCAAGCTGCTCTAGCATTTGAAATTTGTTGTGTTCTTGCATGAGAAGTTTATAAGCAAAATAGGTAGAATATCACAGACTTCATAAGATGAGCAATTGGGTAAGCAAAGATTTGAAATCAATAGAAGGATCAACTGGCTGATCTGAAAAGCTGAGGATAATCCAGTCAATGTCAGAGCAGTTTGAGGTATCATTTCCCACGAAGTTTGGCATGAAATACTGGCCAATCCTCATCCTAATACAGTCAGAGGTATTCAAAAAGATGTGTAGGCCTTTCACATCAATTATTTTGTTAATAACACTAATTTCCTTCTTAACATAGGCAAATAGCAGGGTTAGATAGCCATAATCCATTTCGGTGACCATTTGTCGACTGAAGTTCCGAAACTTGTCAAAAGACTTATATAAGATACACTTTGGCTCTGGAGCAGTTTTCAAGCTTTTCAGATTTATTATATCATAAGAGATTCAGTTGAAGTATTCAAAAATTGCATTTGTGAAGAAAACTACAAACTCTCCAGTACTCTTAAATTCAAAAGGGAAGTTATCTAGTCCGTCGATCATTGAGTATAACGATCTCAGTAGAGGAACGATCACCTCCATGCTCATATCGTACTGTTCTGCAAAAGATCTTAGTCTTAAATCAGGAGGGATCCTCATTAATCTGAAATGGCCAAGATCATTCGAAGCTGATACTCATAAAACTAAAAACATCACTCATAAGCACAAAAACTTCTTATCGTCCATATTTGTTTTATATATAGTTATATTATCATTACTTATAATTAGATACGGGGTTTTGGGGTTTTGGGGTTTTGGGG